AAACAAACCTTCAAAAACTACTATATACTAAACCAAAGACAAAAAGAAACAAAAATGTCAGAAATCAAAGATATAAGCAAACAAGTTCAGAAGTTGAGTAAAACAAATACATCTAAAAACAAACTGAAATTATCGACGTTCAACAAAACAGTCTCTAATTGGTAGATTTATTCACATTGGTCGCTGCCTTAACCTAAATCTAGCAATACACAAGCATATACTGAAGCCTTTCAACACCGTTCGTGATTGGGTTTGAGAAATGACGACAGTTTGAACTTTTCCGAGCAAGTTGCATCCCAAGTACCGAAAGCTCGAAAGCCCATTGTATTCATAATGATAAACTTCAGTAATATCAAATCGAGGTTATTATATAGAAAATGTATCTTGCTCATTCTTGAATATGGTATTTTAGTCTACAGTAGTTGCAGGTACAATGACATCATTGAAATTGAGGCTGTTCAAATAATGTTCAGAAGTCTTCTTGATGATTTTCCTTGCGAGATTGGATTGTGTTATCTATTGAATATCATTCTGTTTGACAATGATCTATACAAATGGGGTCCGTCATCCATCCAACTGACTGAAATGCAAAGCAGAACCTTTGAAACCTTTGTCCTTCATTTTATTTTGTCCTCTTTCTATTCATCTTAGTATCTGAAGTCTGCTTATGATCACATTTATAACTATTATTGTTATTAGTATCATGATTGGTCCGTCGATGCATTAGGTATTCTTTTTGTTCCTTCTTTTCCTTCTAAATATATTTTATTCGTAAACAACCAAAGTCTCCAACTAAAGGCAAATTATCTTTTTTTACACTTGGACAAATTAACTTCACAAATTCATTTTATCTTCAGCACGTATAAATCACTCATGCATATTGATATTTAATTATCTTTTGCAATTAATTGTGACATTCATGGCATTATTTCAAGTTATTATTGCACAAAAGTTCATACTAATATCAAGTTTTACTCTGAATCCCATTACATAAGTTACTTGTATTTACCCGAGTGCACTGAAAAGTTTAAAAATATAGTGGTTTACTTCAGAGGTTGATATTCATTACATTCTTATTATCACTGTTGAATCCTGTCACTAGTTTTTCGGTTCTCTTATACCCCATTCTATTTCTTCTAAATAAATATTATTCTTAAGTATCCGAAGTTTGTAATTGAGATAAAATATTAAATAAATCAGCTTCTCAAACTCATTTTATTTTTAACACGTATATATGACTCATGCAATTTAATGTTTGATTACCCTTTGCAATTAATTGTGACTTTCCCAACAGCACTCCAAACTATTACCGTACATGCACTCATTATACCGTCAAATCTTACTGCAATGAAAAGTTATTTTCGTATTTATTTTTAATCATTTTTGTTATTCATTTGGCGATACATAAATAATCGTTTATTTTGTTCTGTGTTCATAAACACGTACGTATTTCATGTTTCCTTCATTGCTGTTCCCTTATTTTCCCGCTTTCCTTCTTTAAATTCAACTCACTATTCTTCTTAATTACATATAACCTGTTTTTTAATATGACAAATGTTATGCTAACATTATTAAGACCTTTGTATTGCATTTCTGAAGAAACTTGAAATGGTTTCTCCACCACACTTATGTACCAATAAGCTGTTTGTGACTAATAATAATAGTAGAAACTTCCTCTCACACATTGCTATCAAATATGGTATGCTAATGAATGGGATTAATAATGCTCTTGTCACTCAGAGGTTTTTGAGGAGTTACAGTACTAAACTATCCCCTACAGAACAGGGCATTGGCATCATCCCGTTTGTTGCTGAGTATGCCTTTTCATTGGCTTTCTGGAACTGAAAAAGTATACTCTGTCTGATTATTTTTTTCAGAACATTAAACAACCTGACTAAAAAACTGTTTAAGATCATTTTCTGCGCTGACATATGACGTGGTTCAAAAAGAATTCCTGCATTAGCCTCCTTGCCGGAATGTTAGCTCACTACATACTGGGATAGGATGGGGCAAATGCTTACAGTATATTGTGTCGAAAGGACAAGGTACGGTGCAACGTGATCACTGTTCACTAGTGAGGGGAGTCAATGAATGCCAGTGACATTACTGCAATGAGAGAGACAGGGACAAGGTTCTGTATTGACGGTCTAAGTTCCAATTCAAGATTTGTTGATTTTGTGAGTATTGAATAGCAGTTGTCAGTAGGCTGTCGTCTGAATATCTATCTGAAGTTGTACGCTTTATCTAGTTGATATGTAGCGCGTTGAAATCTCCAACTGTGAGGCAACAATCAGCCTCACTCGGACAGACATAAATTTTGGAAATGTCAGCAGTGCCATGTGGGCTACGGTATATTTCTCTGATAGTCACTAACCCATGTCTAGATTTAATTTTATTATAAGCTACCTCACATGTACCACTATCGTGCGTCTAAGGCGTGCCCGATTGTACATGAAGTGATCCCTAACATATAATACCAAGCCTCCCCAATCGCCATTCATATCTATGTCACGGTTAATACAGATGTATCCTGAAATAGCTGGAGAACAATCTTCATCTACAATGAGATAAGTTCCTATAACAATAATTATGTCGAGATTTCACTCATTCATCATCAAGATTATCTCGGACAATGCGAGTATTTGTGTAGCACACATTTAAGATGTTTTGAGAATCCCTAGTTCTACGTATACAGGTCACATAACCATTAAATTCTTAGCCTGATTACCCAAAAACCATGAGTCTGAAAGGGTGTTTCTCTATTTTCTTTCGAGTTCTTAACTTAGTAAGAACATTCTTACACTTGATTCGGTCATTAAGTGGTCAATCTGGCCGGATACTGATATCTGAATCATCTGTTTTGTATACATTACTTGGTAAAGCGTAATTTCCCCCATAACTTCCGAGTACTTGTAGTGGCATTGAGCCCTAACCACACAATCCTCAAAGCTGAACACGAGACAATATGGGAAATAAATATTCAACATTTAACGCGGAGAAAAACCCGACGATGAGAAAGGCGAGAATAATGAATTGAGTGAATTCGAGTGGGTCGGATGGCATGGCTCAACCATTCAGGCGTGGTCCCTACTGAATGTTACCTTATTTCTTATTCATATTAAATATATTGTTCTATCTCTAGCCTAAGGTTGTTCATCATCATGTATTGGTATTTGTTACGATGCAGTGAGTTGGTGTAGACGATGATGTTACTTCCGCATAAGATCTTATAGATTAGGCAGTTATATCATAATAGATCTACAATTTTGGGATTAGGTCTATTATTAGAGCAGTACTAATATCATAGTAGACCATCATTCTACATACTAACTCTAAGATTCCTTTTGGTTCAGTATTTCCTCAAACCCACGTACTGCGTCCTATAACTTCTTCTGGGAGTACATTTCTGATGGCAGATTGTACCAACTTCAGGTCTTGTGAATATTTTTTAATAGTTTGATTTTCTTTTGTGTCCTCCAGATTTAAAATTAATAAACCAGGGACGGATGTGACTTCTTCGCAAATAGTTTCAAGGCTTTGATCGACTTACCACCTCTTGGTACTCACTGGTAGCTTTTATTTGTCTTTCGGACAAATCCGTCCATTTATAATGTCCGGATTTTGTTGTCCTAGAGTTTCGCTCTCTATACATCGTACAGTTGAACTCACCTCATCAGGAGTGTCCAAAAAAGACGCACATTAGATGGGTTTTAGTTTCTCTATCCCGACAGTGTAGGACTTATTACAAGCCCACGAAGGTTATCTTAGCCTCTGGACAGATCAATCCATTCATTCTTCCCAAGCCACACTTTACTCTATCACTTATTGGTTTACCAATCCTGATTGTTTTTATGTAAGCATATATGAGTGCATTTCTTATCTTATTCATCACATGTCTGTAACTTATTTTTGGTCTGACTATAAATATTGATTAACGCCCGATTAAATTGGGTTTTCTCACTCACCTACTCCACTGAGCATCATTTTGTCATTCTTCGCCTCAGGATCAACGATAGCACGAAATATGCGTACTCAAAAATCCGTTGTTGAATTTCAGTTATTTAATTCCGTTAATAAACAACGCGAATTAAGTCGAGGACTATATACAAGGATTGGTGACATTTATATTTCAATAACAAGCGTCGAACGATCAAATTAGTCTTCAGTAATAAGGATAGTAGGTTGGTGGACCAGTGTAAATCATGACATCGCCTTCCAGTGAAGGTCCAGAATCTCCTTGAAAATGTCCACTGATGAGGCTGATATCACTTGTTTGGGTAAGGCGTTCCAGTCATTGACTACTCGATGAGAAAAACGGAACCCCACTTTAAGTTTATTAGATAGAGTTTTGTTAACCTTATTGCTACACCCTTGGAGATTATTAGTGCTAAAGAGAGCGAGAAGACAAGACATACTAACACCCAAATCGTAATTAAAGTTATGAAATGACAGCATAAGGCCGCCTCGCCTACGACGATACGACATGGGGAAAAGTTTTAGGCATTTTAAGCGCTCATCGTAAAGGAGTTTAGAAAGACACCTCACTAACTTCGTTCCCACACGCTAAACACACACTAAGAAAGTTAGTATCCTTAGTCAGACGTGAGCTAGTTGCTTGGATACAGTACTCTAAGTGCGGTCTTACATAGGTGGGAGATAAAATTCGAGGCATTTGAATGCTCGGCGAGGTGACCATAACGCACAGTAATCTTCGGCTACGTCTGCATCCTGGGCCACTAAAAGCCAACCGCACTCGTGGTTTCTTTTGTCTTGCGTCAGACATAAAAAGCGATAGTCATCATTCGACAACTTCATCGGAGCGAGAAGCTTCAATGTTTAATCTAGTACTATCAGTTCAATAAGACAACATTGACGTAAGAATAATCTAACGATACTTTTACCTACGATTTAATAAATTTCTGAAAATTTAATTAATTGTGGATGGAAAGCAAAACGCAATGATTTAGAATGATTGTTTTATTGCTTCATTCAATTACTTCAGAACTCAGTAGCACATTCAAGTATTGTCTAAACCATGGCCGGGGAGCTGATTTTAGGTGATTTTTTCACAGACTTCAGTACAAATGAATTTGTAAGTTAACCCGTTTCTAAAGTTGATGATGTAGGACTCTGTCCAGTCCACTCAGTCTTGGATGACTGACATCTTTGAAACTCTAGATGATCAACAAATCACTCATGATGATTTGATATTAGAAAATATTCCTGAAGAAATAAAAATTAAGTTGGATACTCCTCTCTGTGATATTCTGAAAACGGAGAGTAAGTTTTTCAGCGTGCTAATTACGTAGCTGTTGCAGATGACTTCTTAGTCGGTGATGAGATTGAAATAAGAGAATCCACTTCGTTGGTCTCCTCATTCTTAGATGATACAGCTAATTCTGACGAATCTAGTGGTTATGCATCTTGTGTTCAATCTTCGAACAACTGTTCTCCAAACGTGATCCATACGAATAATGAGTCTTTACTCCCTACAACTCTTCGTATAGTCCCAACGTCAGATACAAAGTCCTTTACTGCTAGCTCACCTCATAAAATCCATGTGACGCGTATCAGTCCTCTGCAAAACAACTCTACCGTTCAAGCAGTTTTACATAAATCTTCTCTTAAGCTTGATAACAAACCCAATCGTGTCCACTTCATATTAAGACCTTTACCCTCAGATTCATCTCATAAAACAGTATCTTTAAATGAGATAAGCCTTGAGAACAAATCTTCAGAAAAGCTCTCTTACTTAAATGAGCACTCATATCTAACCAGTATGTTGCAGGATATCAGTTTTCATCTATTATTCTTTACAGATACTAAAGGTTCATATAAATTCTCGCACGTCAATAAAATTGAAGGAGAGTCAGTATATGATCGAAATGGTGTAGAATCTTTAACGCCATGCGGATCCCAATCCAGTTCGGAGTCTGATTGTAGAGATGTTTACGACGATGACATGCCATGCCAAGAACTTTTTTTTGACCACGAAAATCTCAATCAAAGTCCACTCGACCAGACCGGTTTCAAGAAGTCGCTACTCAGTCATCAAAACCTGAGCACTCATTCTAGGAATGCTGGTACCAGTAAAGGCTTCTCTAGACTGCCTGATATTGATACTCCATTCTATGATGACGGTTCATCCAGTGATTATTCACAGTCAACGAAGATCACACAGCAGCGATTTTTCCATGATCAGGTTAGTTATGTGTTATTAAGTAGGCAACAGCATTTAAATGTTGATAGACTAAGCGTATGGTCTACATTTGTCATAACTTTCAGTCTCTTAGTAAATCCTTTTTTGAATTATACAGCTATTTAAAATGCAGAATTCCGAAATCAAGATTTTTATTCTGGTGTAGGCGAAGTTGTATTTTCAAATAGTCTCAAAAGCCGAGTAGGATGTGAATGTCAGTTTGATTTGTTAAGGATATAAATCTTAAAACTCTTAAGCCCACGATGTTCTTGGCATTCACGTCAAAATGTTTGTTGTAATATGTTGCAATCTGGAAATTGACGTGGACGACGATCACTCGGTGTTGAGTCTACAAGTCAGTGAGAGCACTTTCAGTCTCTGCCTTTAAATATAGCCTCCTAGTTAAGGATGTAAAAGAAATCTGTGCTCGACCATCGTGTGCAGAAAGGTTGCTGACATTCAGTAGCATCATCATATTAGTAGTGCAGAAGTTCAGACACTGACGACAGTTCAGTTGTCACTAACTTAAAACATCGGCTTTCATGACTTTGGGACATTTTACGTATATTGGCTCAGAGAACCCCACATTAAATATTTGACGATGCCGAGACTAATAGGAAAGAACGAGGATATACAAGAAAAGGTTGCCAAGTCCTTCAGGTAGTGGATACAACAAAACAAACAAACGTTTCTGTAATATTTATACTGAAAACAATATTTTCTCCACGAACTAAAAATTCAACTGTTAACACATTTAGTAATTTGGTTTATGTATAATACATGGATACAACTGGGATTTTGATTCTCACCACAATATGCTTCGTACATGCCTACTAATAAATTGGTGGTTGACAGTTTTTTTAGTTAGACTTTTGTGCAAGTCTGTATTAGCTTAAGACCAGCCATCATTACTATTTATGTTATATACTGGCTATTTGAATATTCATATCAAGTTAAAAAGCATCTGTGACCATTTAGCTTTCGAAAGCATATTCTACCAACCATTTTCGTAGTTTTGACTTCAGCATCTATGTCCAATGAAAGTTGACTTTCATAATTTTGTATCCATTATTTTCTCGTTCTAAGCCTTCATCTTTCCTATTATTTCATTACTATAGATGTACTCTCGTATTCGTGGTACCACACGGATTGGGCAGTCTGACGTAAGTACATATGTAGTTACCAAATTTAGTTCATTAATCTAATGTAGCTAAATGTTATCTAACTGTTTGCTGATGAGTCATGTTTTGACGGAACATCTGTCCTGTGCTTTCAGCCTTGTAATGATGGTCTAGCCATGATCGCTGTGATTTTAACCCTTAGCATTTGAGATGGACTAATATGATGTGATTTACTTTTATATTATTTGATTTTATGTATCAGAAAACGTTTTATGGTTATGCTTAACCGATGATTTAAGTTGGTCAGCACAACGTAATCTTATAAGTGTTACTGATCAATGATTAGTTATTGACTTTGATACTATGCTCTTACCAAGTCCGCGTTATGCGACTTTCATTCGGTGAAAAGCATTAAGGTATTTGATTCATTTTGTATTGGTTGTTTGAATCTTCCGATTGGCGTTTAAGATTGCAATTAATTGGCCTCTTACTGTCATATACGTTTCCGTTTGTGTGTGGCGCATATATATTTGGTGCCATCTTGTACCAATATTTATTTGCTCAAATAAATAAATAAAACATGTGTATCCTGTGCGGATTGCTTCGATATGGCCTTAAGTCACAAGCATTATGAACAAAGACAGGTAGTGGCTAGCAGTGAAATCTGGGACGCATGTTTCGTGTTGTTTGGGACTCGCCAGCTAGATGTACCTGAATCCTAGAACTGATGTTCACTTTGGAACGCAGATACATCCAACTGATGAGTTCCAGGGAGGACGAAACTCACGTCCTGGATTCCACTACTAACTACCGTCTATTTTTGTTTATAGTACTTAAGTTTTTATTATTTGATTAGGATGTCCCGTTCTGTTCAGATAGTCTACAGTAATACTTAATATATTCTCTGATCTAAATGTTTTTCGCCTAGGTTGCTACCTATGGTATTTAAAGGGTTAGTTTCACACTATCTAGTGGATGTTCTTTCAGGATTTAAATATATCAACGTCCAAAACTATCATGATGTTGCTTCGGAAGCGTTATCCTCAGATTACTCATATGCTGCTTTAGACGTTGTACATAGTTGGCTATATAAGTTGGAACACTTTTACCTGAGGTGAAAAACTCTCCTGGTAGACTTAGAGTAGTTCCATAAACCAATTCTGCTGGGCAGCATCCTATATCTTGCTTGATTGTTGATCTTAAACTCAACATGACTAATGGAAGCTTGCTGGCCCAATCATTATTGCTAATGACAGCTGTAAGTGAGGCTTTAAGCTGTCGATGTAATCTCTCTACCATATCATTTGACATCGGATGGTAGGATGTTGTGCGAATTCGTTTGATTCCGAGGAGCTCGGTGAGTTGTTGGAAGAGGCGGCTCTCAAATTGAACTCCTCTATCGGTTGTAATCCTAGTAGGCACGCCATAATATAAAATCCAATGCTCTACTAGGGTTTTTGATATAGTTTCGTCTGTAATGTCTTTTATAGGCACTGCCACAGGCCATCGCGTGAATCGTACTGCTGACTGTACAGAGATGTGACAGCAGTAAGGTGTTTCCCTCGAACAACCAGCATTTGCAGCGATGCTGTCTTCTCATAATGAAGGAAGGGGTTAGAAAAGGTTGACCCTAAAAATGTCACACCTCACCTTACCCCACGGATTTCCATCTCCGGCGGTAAGGCCCTTTGAAGAACGGAGCTAACACATTAAAAACCTCCCACAAAAAGGCCGTGCGCGACCGGCCTCAAGCAGTTGTCCCTTGGGCTCTGCGGTCACGCACCCAGGTCTTTAAGACCACCACTAACCCGATTTCCTTATCAGGTTCCTCAAGAAATACCCTTCCACGGTGTGGGTAGCCGGGAAGTGATATCAGCCCTCATACCCGTGACAACACACGAGACCAAGTTGGTCACATTCAAATCCCTCCTACACCTCCTAATAACTCTCTTATCTCCACGACCAACCCTTCTCACGTCCCTTCATCACCTCGCCCCGCTAGTGCGAACGATTCGAGTACGCGGAATGTTATTCCTGGTCTCCTGAAACCACGCTCCAAACTACATGTAAGAGCTTTCAACGTCCGAACACTGTGCCAAATAGGACAACAGGCTTCCTTAGCTAGAACTTTAGAATCTCGCTCCATCGATGTGTGCTGCGTCTCCGAAACGCGCACACAGGATCCAAGTAGTGTCATTCATTCGACCACACCATGTCAAAGTAACGAACCAACTGGATTTACGCTTCGTGTATCTGGAAGCCTTGACGCTGCTTCCCGTGGCCTTGCTGGCGTAGGCATAGCATTGAGTCCTAGGGCAGAACTAGCTCTCTTAGACTGGATCCCAGTAGACAGTCGTTTGTGTGCTGTCCGACTAAACGGAACAGTAAGGACTCGAAAAGATAGGGACACTCGTCGTTGCCTGTTCGTCGTCTCTGTCTACTCTCCCACTGACTGCAGCTCAGATAATGTAAAAAATGAGTTTTACAGAAAGCTTTCCGACGTTCTCCGAAAAGCTAGGCGTTCAGATGTAGTAATAGTGACTGGTGACTTTAATGCTCAAATAAGTAAACTAAGAGAAAGGGAAAGGCACCTGGGTGGATCTTATGGTGTCGCGGCTCAAAGAACAGAGAATGGCGACTGTCTGTTGCAGCTATGCTCAGATAACCGCCTGTTTCTTGCAAACACTAACTGTAAGCATAAGGAAAAACATCTTTTAACATGGCGACCCCCTAATTCGTCCCAACGCTGAACCCGAATATATCACATCGCTATCAGCCACCAATGGAGGGGCTCGATAGAAGACTGTCGCTCATTCTGGAGCACATGCTTAGACTCAGATGATGCTCTAGTGCGAGCGCGTATTTGTCTACGTCTTACTGGACGTAGGAAAGATGGTGCAAGGAAACACTTTAGGGTCCTGCTTAATGATGGTCAAGCTAAGAGTATATTTCAGGAACAACTAGAAAAACAGTTAGGCAGCCATGTAAGTGATGCCCACCCCGAGGCAGCGTGGAATGACATCCGAAAAGCTGTAGAAACAGCAGTGATAACGCAAGTACAGTAAACCATAAGGTTAGGGAGAAACACTGGATCTCTGCAGCGTCTACTGCCCTGATAGATGCTCGTAAACTCATTCCATCTGGCTCTGAATATAAAGAAGAGCGGAGTCAGCTTAAGCGTAAGCTAACTACAAGCCTACGCAATGATCGTGAACAATGGTGGGTAGCGAAAGCAAGAGATGGAAAAGGCAGTGGCAATAGGTAACAACAGGCAACTGTTCAGACTTGTTAAGAAAACCGGTATTAGGAACCCAACTGTTAGCGAAACAATCTCCGAGAAAGATGGACATATTATTCATTCTCAATCCAGGAGATTGGACCGATGAGCAGAATACTTTAGGGATCAGTTCAACTGGCCTTCAGCCATACTTCGGTTTCCCACGATCTCCAGTCGACCTGAATGGCAAATTGATGTAGGTCCTCCGACTCTTTACGAAGTTGAAAAAGCTATAGGAAATCTGAAGCGTGGGAGAGCAGCAGGCCCTGACAGGTTTACTCCTGAGATTTTTAAAGATGGCGGTCCAGTATTAGCAGTGAGATTGACTGAGGTCTTGGGTAGAATCTGGGAACTGGACGTAATCCCAGCTGACTGGTCTCAATCACTGATTGTGCCAGTCTATAAGAAAGGACAAAAGTCCTCCTGTGACAATCACAGAGGAATTAGTTTGACTAATATAGTGTATAAAATGTTGGCTTCAATAATACTTCGACGTCTAACCAAAGCTCATGAAGAGCAGACTAGAGAAAACCAGGCTGGTTTTCGACCTGGACGTGGTTGTATAGATCAAATATTCACACTACGTCAGATCCTAGAACATAGACACACGTTCAGACGCCCCACAATGATATTATTTCTCGATCTTAAGGCGGCATTTGACTCTGTTGATCGTGAGGTTCTATGGCAGTGTTTGTCACTGAAAGGAGTACCAAAGAAGTACATTAATCTTATGAAGGCTCTCTACTCGAACACAACTGGTCGAGTGAGAGCTTATGGCGAACTGTCATCAGAACTGATTACCTCAAGTGGTGTTTGTCAGGACTGTCCACTCTCTCCATTCTTGTTTAACGTTGTCGTTGACGTGCTTTTAGAAATAACACCTTCCACATCTGACTTTCCAGGGCTTGAACTTCTACCGAAAGATTCACTTGTTGACTTAGAGTATGCCGATGACATAGTTCTATTTAGTGAAGACGCTGATAAAATTCAGAGTTTGCTGACCACTCTAAGCAACAATGCAAGCATGTTCGGCATGCGATTTTCTCCCTCGAAACGCAAAATGTTGCTTCAGGATTGGGGTGCATCGACACCCGAACTAGTGATAGGGAGTGAAGTAGTTGAGCGTGTCGACCGCTTCACTTATCTTGGAAGTCTCATCAGCCCTTGTGGCTTGGTGTGTGACGAAATCTCAGCACGGATACAAAAGGCTCGACTAGCTTTTGCCAAATCCCCTGGTACGGCCGAGAGTGGGGAGAGTCCGCTCTCCCTCTCGAAATGCTCTCACATGGCCATGAGTATATAGCCTCTGCCAGGGAAGTTCTACTCACTGCCTTCTCGTGGCGGGGGAGTTGTTTACAAAAATGAGAGGACGAAAAGCGAATGTCTGGCGCTTTAACCGGACCTCAAACCAATGGTGCACATGGGCTCCAGTATCCTGAAGCGACAAATGGCGTATGAACCAATCGTTGGTCACCGGCTACCATGGGACTACATCTCCCCACGATGCTCCACTGCCTTGTGGGTCAGACGTTCAGGTCAAAGGCTCGGGGTGTGGCCCCCTAAGAAATCCACCTGCTTCGGTTTGGGCACCCGGGCAGTATCACAGCCCTCACACAATTCAATTGAGATTTGTGTGGCGCATATGTATTTGGTGCCTCCCTGTACCTATACTTATGTGTTAAAATAAATAAATAATAATAAATATTAGCTTTTGCCAACTTGCGTCATTTGCGGTGTAGGCGAGATATCCGCCTCTCAACCAAAGGACGTGTTTACTGCGCAGCAGTTCGTTCCGTCCTACTTTATGGCAGTGAAACATGGCCAGTAAGAGTAGAGGATATTCGTAGGTTACTAGTATTTGATCATAGGTGTCTTCAAAACATTGCTCGTATATCCTGGGACCACTGAGTAAGCAACTCAGTTGTTAGGAAACGGATACTAGGTAAGGATGGCAAATCAATTGATGATGTAGTGAAACTTAATCAGTTGAGATGGCTGGGGCATGTATTGCGCATGCACGACGTGCGATGTTTTATGGTGTAGGAGTAGGATGGAAGAAAGCTAGGGGCGGCCAGACCAAAACATGGCACAAATCCATGAAGTCACTGACAAGTGGACTGAGCCATGTTTGTAGGTGTAGACGGAACACTTTAAGGTGCAGTTCAGTTGGTCTTTAACTAATCTACAACTATCCTCCATTCCCAGACAGTGTGAATGGAACATTGAAGTAGGTCCTCCAACTCTAGCTGAAGTTCAAAAGGCTATAGTTAATCTAAAACGAGGAAGGGCAGATGGTCCAGATGGATTGGCTCCAGAGGTTTTTAAGGAAGGTGGTTCAATTTTAGCGACTAGGTTGACTAATATTTTAGTTAAAATCTGGGAGTTGGACATAAATCCCCTCTGACTGGTCGAAGATTGTTTCTTGCTCGCACGTTGGGATCAATTCTGTGGTGGTCGGTGTTCGATATATTCCTTAAACTCCGTATACAGTTCGTCTCGGTAACCGTCACTAAATAACGCTCCAACGGTATATTAATCAGAAGGCAAATACGAAGTGTTAATTACGTTTATTATGGGACCACACACAGATATCTAAAATTACAAATGAGTTAAGCAAGCATGAGATAGTTGTGCCGAAAGGCAGGCAGGCAAGCGGGCGAGAGAGAGAGAGATCCAGCGAGTAATGAATATGAATAACATGGACATATATATACATAGTGAAATGAATAAATCATCGAATCAGTTAACTGGTTAATAGTAAGGCTAGTAGCGTGAATAAATGCATAGGCGGTAAGGTTTGCCGGGCATACATGTTCATACATTCGCAACAGTAATAAGGATACAATGATATAGATAAGTTGTTGTACGGATGACTCAGTTCGTTAATAGGTTAATAAAATGACTTGACCGAATTAAATGTGAACAAGCACAATAGCACGTGAGTTGTTATAACACCCTCTAATTCATAAACAAAAAATCACTTCCAGATTTGATCAGTCCTACGGAGCTTTTGGTATTACTATTTTCCTTTATTACTGTTCTCACTTTGTTTCTCATTTTGTTAATCTCTTTCTGTACTGATGCAAAGTATAACAACTGAAACCAGTACATATATGTTGCCCACTCTACATTCCTCATATCTACCTATCCTCGTTTGACCATTTCGGTACATGGATATGTCGGTATTTGGACATTGTCGGGAAACAAATGTTTAGCTGTTTAGGATTGTCTAGATTGAGCGAAACTTTAGTCAACTGAGCTATTGGGTTAATTGACAATTAAAATTACGATAAGTGTATGCCAAAAAGTTATTGTTTCTTAGTGTGGAAAGAGCTTATTTCTGATGATTAACTGGAAGCAAGTAATTTTGTAGTGTACATAATGGATTTTCACATTGTTAGCAGGACATAGATTGGATTAAAGCATGCTCAATGCACGATTGCTTTGGTGCACGCTGATTGGCTAATTCTTGCCGAATCAGTGCTAGTCGACACCTGGAGAATACTCTAAAAATATTCTCACGTAAAAATTATAAATACACTAACGTTTTCCCTATTGTGCTTCTTACTTCCATCTAACCTTGTTATTTGGAATATAATCTCTTTCCTGTTTAACCGTGTCCTGATTTGGGGACTTGTCGAGTGAATCTGTGTCCGAGAATACTCAGCAATAGGAATAGCTGGGTTGTAATAAGAGAGAATTATAACACACATACTGCGCGGAAAAGCTATGTCACTCGTGCAATCGATCTTAAGCTAATGGTTGTCTGAGTTCATTTTAGAGTTTCATGTACAGGGATTTAACTGATGGGGTTGTAAAGTAGCTCTTTATTCCTGTTGTGCGAATGTTTGAATTACTTGAAAACAGTAAATATAACTTTTTTCGTGTGCACATTTAGATACCATGATGCTGTTACTGCTCATCTTTTTAACTTCATCCCGTCATTGTAACATTATATGCCAACTTGAACTGAAACACATTTGTGGCAGAGCTGATGTCGTTTGTGATTGACATCAATGTTTTGCTTTTAAATGATGACGCTGATTGTCAGAATCGTTCCTATTATTTTAGTTGGTACACACTAAACATGTTTTATCGATTTGATTGGAAATATACATATTACTTGGTGTACGATTATATTTTAACTAACTACTCCTGAGATAATAATCAGTCTCATACAAAATCAAATCCCAAGTCTAATAATATATTTTTCATGTTCGGTGCATTAATGTTTTAATAGATAGTACTGCCCCATCAGCAATAATATTTTTCAAAAGTAATCGTTGTTAATAAAACGTGATACATAAAGTTAACATAGCTTTTGTTTAATGTTAACATTTGCACATATTGAATAGCAACAATTTAAGTGTGTAGGGTATACTTAAAGCATTATAGATTGTTAGACGTACAAATAAGGGGTAATGCAGTTTAATGTTATTAGTTAAATTTTAACTACCCACTTATCACTAGTTTGTTTTAATTATGAAACTAGTCGGTTGTTTCAATGCACTATATGTCCATTCTAATCAGAATGAACCCTGCAATTCGTTCTATTTCATGATATTCAATAGTCTTTTGATTAGCTGGTCGTAATTCTCTTAAGCCCTAAAAAACATTTTGTCAGTAATCGATACTCATGAACCTCATGTATTTAAACATAATTGTCTTCAAAGCATTAGTTACGAATGGTAAGACCTGAAATTAGTAATCATAGGGTCACACATGGCGATCTAGGCAAAAATGATAAGATAATGAAGCTCTATTAGCCAAGATCATTAAAACTGTTATATCTGCCCATATACTTACTACCATGACGCGCAACACTAGCCTCCGTAGGATTAGAATGAAATTTGTCTAAGAGCGGTTAGTTGAAAACATAGCTTCAATCAATAAGCTGATTGACCAAACCACTCCCTGACTAGGATCTACCTGATGATGATGGTTGAAGACCCTAGGTGGCATGGCACTCGACTCGATTGCATTGATAAACATGTATTCATTCTGTCTCTTAATTCCTAAACTGTTGTGTCACTACACTTTTTGCTTCCCTGTTTCACTTCCTCTTTGCCGTTTTTTATACCACTTCTAAACACCATATTTAACCTTACCTTGCTCTTCATATTGTTATTTTTATTGCACCATGTCAACAGAAAATGTAGTAACTTAAGTTGGTAGACATTCGTTCGTTGTTTATGATATATAATCCAACTGTTATTTAGTTTCCATAATGTTCATTGTACTAATATCTAGGCCGTTTGCTAAATTCTCTGTAAATATGTTTTCGGCTGCCAAGCAATTTCTTATCATGTACTAAGTATTAATTATAATTCATTAATAAAATCCAATTTAATTTCTTGATTATGTTACTAGAAATTGTTATGCATTTAAGCTTAATTCTAAAATTTTAAGCTTAATAATTCAGTCAGTCAATCATAAGCAAGGTAAAGCTTATTAGATATGTGCTTCAGTTCAAGTTGTCATGCTAGATCAGCCTAGAGAGATAAAATTATGGAAAACAAATGCCTTGATAGTGGGAATAGTAATAGCATCGACAGTATGAGAAAAGGCTAGACACAGACAATATGAATCGAAAATAATGAATTCGTGAGATTATGTAAACAATAGAAGATAATTTCAATGCATCTGATCTGTTAGAACCGATTTTGAGTCTTGTCACCCAAATTTTCTAATCATTAGCTGAAATAATCGCTCGGATCTCAACCAGATATTTCACCTACTAACACAGCTCGCTCAAACTGATGCCACGTAGATCATAATCTCTCTTCCGCATATTGTCTCACTAACACTTGCATTTTCGGTGCTTATTTCTTTGATAGTTTTGAGAATATGTTAATTATTACCTATCGCCTTCACCTTGTCCATTTATTTTGCTTTCGTTGCCCTCTACTCAATATCATTTCAGTCTAATTTTAAGTTAGTTTAATTTCCCCTTGGGTTGACACTCATCACAAATGTGTGTCTTAAATCCATTAAAAGTCTTTCAGTTATTCAAACACGTTATATAGGTCAATTATCAAAACTTTCTCTTTCTTGCTATTGAAGATACACCCTAACAACACCGTACAAGAGCATTTTCCGTGGTATTAAGTTAACAACTCTGGGTTGGCATGTTCCAATACGTTTTTGTGAAGAAATAATGCCACTTGATTCCTGTTTTGATTAGTCCTCATTATTTATAAATAATGTAATCTTAATGTTTTTCTAGATCAATCATCCTCATATGTTAGTACTTACTGAGGAAGAAAAACGGACTTTAATTGCAGAGGGTTATTCCATCCCAACGCGTTTACCTTTGTCTAAACAAGATGAACGAAACCTTAAGAAGGTTCGACGAAAAATTAAAAATAAGATAAGTGCACAAGAAAGTCGCCGAAAGAAAAAAGAATATCTAGAAGCACTAGAAAGAAAGTAAGTCACCAGCGTAGTATTTCATTTTTTTTCCTGTAAAACAACTATTTCTTAGTCATAAATCTTTATTTACTAAAATTGGGTATAAAATCTGTGCAAATATTTACACTTTTTTCCATTTCAAAAACACTTGTATTTCCATCGTGTTTACTTTGGAACTCATGCTTTCGTGATTTTGAAAATCACATTGTATACTTTATATTCTCTGTTAAAGTGAACATATTCCTCTCATTTTTATAAAAAATAATTTGCCATCTTTGTTTCCATGCACTTTTTTACTGTGAGTAACCAACGTTTCGTGAGAAATTTCGACACTTGATATAAAATTTAATATTTGCACTCGAATGTATTTGTCATAATTAACTCTAAAGAAACCGGCTTGAGGGTTAGTATGTATAAAAATCTAGATTATGGTTAATATGGAAAAGTAACGTAACTAATTGATCAATTGGTTGTATGTACTAGTGTCAAAAGCAAATGATTTCACGTTATAAAGAGTACATCTCAGGTTTAAAGTAAAGACTGTTATGTCATATGTGTAGAGATTCTAGACAAAAAACAATTGACTCATGATCTCAACTGTTGAAATTACTACAATCTTCACAAAACCCCTTCTGATAAACAAACAATAGTAAATTAACTTAGCTATTGGATCAGTAAACTCATGTTTTGTATGTTATGAACATATATCCATTCCTGTTATAGTTCAAATAAAAATATGATTATTTTTTCGATAGAGATATTTTATAAGAAGATTCTAGAGTTTTATCGGAGTATCTCCGTAAAAGCATGAATACACGTTTTTTCCATCCGTCTACCCTTTTTTTTCACTAAAAGCGTACTCGGGTGTATTTTAATTATAGCATATATATATATATATATATATATATATATATATATATATATATATATATATAATGATTTTATTATTTTCTTGTTCACAATAATTATGTTGAAGTATTTGTAAATAAAAACCTTTTGGTTCTAATAAACTGTAAATGAATATAATTATTTACTAGCTTGTTCATACAATAGAATATTTAAGAAAGGTTGCTAATTGTATTCGTCTTATAATGAACTTTTTATTTAGTAGTATGTTGACTGAGGTCACTTAAAGTGTGCTTGTCTTTTTTTCTGTATGTTTTTCCTTTTAAAACACAGTGTTTTAAACAAAATGAAAGATCTTATTCCTTTTTTTGTGTACATTTTACTTATTTGTTGTGCACCATATCCAAGTTGTACATATATTCAGAAAGGTGTTCTCATTAAAAAGTACTGTATCGTCTATTTTTGTACTCTCGATAATAAAATTTAAAGAAATATTTAACAATTTTTTTTCTAAAACCTTTCTCACTAAAGTTTAAGTTCCCATTAAATGTTGTTTAGCAGAGTCAGTTTGTTGATTAAACTGATTAACTACCAGTTTACTACTCTTAGAGTGTTACTGTTAAGTTTTTATCTCCTTTACAATTCGAATGTTTTCAATAGTATTTTTAAAGCATTCTGTTATTGATCAGACTTTCATCGTCAATATCTTAAAATACTTAGGGCTAACAAAACAGTACTTCGTATTACTGAAATCTTCATATTCAGACTACTTTATTTGAGTTCTGGAAAGAAATTTTTACGTACAAGTCAGTCAGCTACAACGTAGGATCAGGCACATATATGCATCGGTCCAATTTGCCATACCGCATTAGCACAGCAAGATGAACAGCGGATTCATTTACGTACAAGTACAGCAAGGTTTCTGTTTATTAGGTAGTGCCTATTAAAATTTATTAAGAAGCACCTTCCAAACTACCCACGTTACTCTTTGAACCTTTTATCAAATAATTAGCCTAATAACACTTATTTAGCTGTATTCGAGCCCGAGATAGTATGGTCACTTTAAAACAATTATTCTAAACTTCAAAAGGGATAATAAAATTAGTTAACCGTGTTAATTACATCGTTTTAGTTGATAGATGAAAAGATCAACATTCGCAAATTGATAAGCAATGAATTTTATCATACATCAAGGAGATTTTGATTTAATATTCAGTTTCTAACCTCTACTAAATCTACAGCGTCTAATTATTAAACTTTTAAAATTTAAAAAATTCCCATATTGTAAATTTCGAACAATATTGTCTAATTATCTGAGCACTTTATTACGTAATCTTATAATTTTTATAAATGTTATCTCACTGCCTATATTTTTTCTAATCATTGACCTATTTCCGAATATGTCAGTCAGTAACAACGTGGAACTTCGTACGTACGTACATCAGTTCGAGTTGCCACACCACATTAGCACAGAGATTCAGTTATCGATTCAAATCCCGTAGTGGTAGAGGTAGTGATAGGGAACATTAGGGTTTGATGATGTTATTTAAGGAGTATAGTCCAGTGGAACAGATTTAGAAAGAAAATAAAGGAAATGAAGTATTCAGAAGATTAGAGTTTGAGAGAACACAAAGAGTGGATGCATCTGCGTCATTGCAAACGATTTTGAGCAATGTCATTCAACGTCTCTAACCATCGGTCGCTATCATCACGCTGTCCCCAACCAAGTAGCCTACATCTACCAACATGGCTCAGTCCACTTGTCAGTGACTTCATGGATTTGTGCCATGTTTTGGTCTGGCCGCCCCTAGCTTTCTTCCATCCTACTCCTACACCATAAAACATCGCACGTCGTGCATGCGCAATACATGTCCCAGCCATCTCAACTGATTAAGTTTCACTACATCATCAATTGATTTGCCATCCTTACCTAGTATCCGTTTCCTAACAACTGAGTTGCTTACTCAGTGGTCCCAGGATATACGAGCAATGTTTTGAAGACACCTATGATCAAATACTAGTAACCTACGAATATCCTCTACTCTTACTGGCCATGTTTCACTGCCATAAAGTAGGACGGAACGAACTGCTGCGCAGTAAACACGTCCTTTGGTTGAGAGGCGGATATCTCGCCTACACCACAAATGACGCAAGTTGGCAAAAGCTGGTCGAGCCCTTTGTATCCGTGCTGAGATTTCGTCACACACCAAGCCACAAGGGCTGATGAGACTTCCAAGATAAGTGAAGCGGTCGACACGCTCAACTACTTCACTCCCTATCACTAGTTCGGGTGTCGATGCACCCCAATCCTGAAGCAACATTTTGCGTTTCGAGGGAGAAAATCGCATGCCGAACATGCTTGCATTGTTGCTTAGAGTGGTCAGCAAACTCTGAATTTTATCAGCGTCTTCACTAAATAGAACTATGTCATCGGCATACTCTAAGTCAACAAGTGAATCTTTCGGTAGAAGTTCAAGCCCTGGAAAGTCAGATGTGGAAGGTGTTATTTCTAAAAGCACGTCAACGACAACGTTAAACAAGAATGGAGAGAGTGGACAGTCCTGACAAACACCACTTGAGGTAATCAGTTCTGATGACAGTTCGCCATAAGCTCTCACTCGACCAGTTGTGTTCGAGTAGAGAGCCTTCATAAGATTAATGTACTTCTTTGGTACTCCTTTCAGTGACAAACACTGCCATAGAACCTCACGATCAACAGAGTCAAATGCCGCCTTAAGATCGAGAAATAATATCATTGTGGGGCGTCTGAACGTGTGTCTATGTTCTAGGATCTGACGTAGTGTGAATATTTGATCTATACAACCACGTCCAGGTCGAAAACCAGCCTGGTTTTCTCTAGTCTGCTCTTCATGAGCTTTGGTTAGACGTCGAAGTATTATTGAAGCCAACATTTTATACACTATATTAGTCAAACTAATTCCTCTGTGATTGTCACAGGAGGACTTTTGTCCTTTCTTATAGACTGGCACAATCAGTGATTGAGACCAGTCAGCTGGGATTACGTAACATGTAACATTGATTTAAGCCTTTATAATTCTTATCAAAATTAGTACACCTGTCATCACATTATCAATTTGTACTTTTCACTTATTATTTAATCTCTTTCATTGTTATCATTGACTCATAAACTACCTTGATTGGTTTGATAATTTCTTGTATGCATATAAATATTACTGTATATTGGAGTAAAGCCTGATGAGGATCTAAACGAAAACAATTTTGTTTCCTTATATATGTTATTATACTTTTTTTCCCTCGTATCTATTCTTTGCTCGTTTCATTTTCATTGTCCTTTTTATGATTTCATCTCCGTATAAAGTTCTTCACACAGTCATAGAGATTGTACGATATCGTAATATTAAATGGCATGTGTAATTCCACTACCCTTTTAAATTATTATCTAACCACTATTTGTAATTCACTAGCACCTTCTTAGTGAACTAATGCTGACATATTTTTTTAATGAAATAATTTGTAATATTAATCGGTAGAAGTAGTTTTAGTAAGCGATATCATTCTAAAGAGGATTTTCTTCGTTCAACTGGCTCAATTTTTTTTCTTAATAATAAAAATAGTGTAATTTTTGTTATTCGATATTAACTAATTTTACATGTCATTTTAGAAGATTCTAATGTTCACATTGATTTTTTTCTCAATTTTTCATTACTGACATTTCAATGTCATTGTAAACAAACAAGATTTTATTTATTTGTGTACTAATGGTGTTTGCATTTAAAGCTTGTGTTCATTTATTCTTTGATAGAATATGCATATTGTATTGGCCTATCTGAATTCATTTGTTTTCTTTGTTCTTTTTTTAAAAATACGCCCAGAATTAATAATTGTGCTTATGTATGTATAGTTATACTACGTACTTACATTAATGCATATTTATATACAGCTTTCTTTATCGAAGAAAACTCCTTGTGTTGCTCAACATAAATTGTCTGCTTAATAGGATAGGTAAATAGTGTCACTGACGTTAGAGAAATTAAGACAAAGGTGATTAGTTATGCAGTGGACTTGATAATAGAGAATTTTCTACTCATCATAACGAACACACTATGAAAACTAAGTTGTATGCATCTATAGAGTATTCTATTTGTTTATTTTCTTTCAACTCATCAATTCTGTCAGTGTTTTTATTGTTA